TTGTACTAAAAAATATTACAAAAAAAAAAAAAGAGGATAATATAACGATTCAATTTGTTAAAGTTATAATAAATAGAGTTGTTTGGGTTTAAATTTATTTTTCCTTAGTCATAACTTAATCCACATATTAATTGATATAATTTAATAAAAATTGACTTTTAAACCCCAAGTTTAGTTTCATGTTACATGCTAGTATAATAAAACTGGGGACGAGTCCACGTGCAAGACATGCTGGTCAGTGTTCTTTTGTGTGAGATAATTTTTTACTGATGTGTATTCATTTGAATAGAAATTTGTAGATTATTTAATCACACCGAGTTGTATAATATGACAAAGACGACCCATAGTTGGGGTGATATTCTTAGTTATAAGTACAAAATCAAATTATTGAGACTAATGTCGGTGTAACTATAGACATGCGGAAGCAAATTGATTTATGAATGCATGAATTGTCGGAAATATGAATTCAAAAGATAAAGTGACATGTTCTGCTGGTCTCATTCCTGTGTATGTACGAGACTCAAGGTCTTACTTAACTCAATTACAAGATAGTACTAGTATAATATATGTACTAGTATAATATATAAACTCAAGTTCTTTTAGAAAACTAGTCGATTTGGAATTGAGTTTCCCCTATAAAATACTCATTTTATTAAAATCTTCTAACATAATCGATAAAATGAAATATGGTTATTTAGAAATAACTTAGTGAATGAAATCTGAAAAAAATAATCATGCTAATGTGCATGATAGATATATTGGTGGTCGTTGGATAAGTCCATTTAAGACCGTCAGATAAGTTTATTAAAGTCTGTTATATTCTATACTATAGATATATATAGAGTAGCGCGATCATGAAAGCTCTGTACCATAACCTCTAGTGGGAACTTTTTACGTGAACCGTTAGATTATAATGTAACGGTTACTAATTGAAGAAGACCAAAATTTAATACAATGCCTTTAGGGGCTGTTTAATTAAATCCGTTTTATAACCTAAAACTCATACTACTTAATATGTTAAGTACTTCTTAGAAATAAACTAAAATTTTAAGGAGTAAACGACTTACTTATCACTTAATGCTGAAAATGTTAGCCAATAAGGAATTTATCAATTTCTCATATACTCTCACCACCATTATGTCATTGTCCTCACCACCAACATTATCACCACCACTACCACCATTGTACCACCGCCACTGTACCACCACCACTGTATCACCGCCACTACCTCCATCATTAACACTGTCACCACCAATACCATTATGCCACCGCCACCAACACTACTATCACTACCACAACCATTGTTGCCACCACCTCCACCACAACCACCATCACCATCACTATCATTGTCGACATCACCACCATCACCACCACCACCACCACCACCACCATTGTCGCTACCACTTCCACCTTCATTATCGCTACCACTTTCACCACTATCATCACCACCATTGTATCGCCGTCACCACCATTATCATTATGTCACTGTCACCGTCACCACCACCACCACCACCATTGTGCCACCGCCACCACTACTACAACTACCACTACCATTGCCACAACTATCATTGCCACCACCACCACCACAACCATTGCCATCACGCCACTATCATTGTGTCTCTGCCACTATCATCATTATTGTCATCATCACTATTATTGTGCCACCACCACCATTATGTTGCAACCACCATCACTACCCTTGCCGCCACCACTACCACCACCATTGTGATAGTGGTGATAGGAATAAGGCAGTTGAGAAGATATGATTAAAAAGAGGGGCAAAATTAAAATAATAATAATTTTTAGATTTTAACTCCTTATATTTATCAAACAGTTTGATTAAATTCAATACTTAAATTTCAGTTGATACTAAACAATCTGCAAATTAATAAATTCAGCATTTAGCACTTAAAATTCAGCATTCAGAACTTAAATTCAGCATTCAGTTTTTCAATGTTCAACTTTTAATGTTATCAAACACCATCTTATGAAGTTTGACTCTTGACTGAAAAGGAAATTTAATGACATATTAATTGTAATCATATTTGAAATGAAGGCTCACCTTCCTGATAAGTCTTCACTGCTAGATTTACTTTCCTTGTCATGCCAACAATCCGAAGTCCAGCTAGAGGCCTTTGAACACACATTTTGATTAAGGCCATTACAGCGAAAATGAATTTGTGGTCATGCAAAACTTGAAAGAGAACATGTCAATAAAATGTGAACATGGAATTAGGTGCATGAAGATGACCCTTAAGTTCCTTTGATAAAAGTTTATTAGAAGGGATGTGATTTTGTGGGGTTACTTTAGCTCAATTGATCATATGCAAAGATCACATTTGTATAATAGAGTTTTATCCATATGTTTCTTTTGTACGTAGAAGATTTTTTATTTAGAGAATCAACATAAAAAATGAAGGTGGTGGTGTTCTCAGAGAGAATGATATACATTTGGAGTAGCTCGACATGGAGGTGATGATCATAATTTTTTTTTATGTTGATTTTTAAGTATATCATTTCAAATTAAAATATGTTTTCGTAAAAGAAATATGATTACAATAAATTATTATGCCATTAAATTTTCTTTTCAGTTAAGAGCCAAACTTGGTAAGTCATTGCATTAAATTTTGGTCTTCTTCAATTAGTGACCGTTAAATCAGGATCTACCAACTCACATAAAAAGTTCTCACCAGAGGTTTTGGTGCAGAGCTTCCATGATCGTGCTACTATATATATATATATATATAATTTGACAAAGTGTTAGTTTAAACTAATTAAAAAAATACCATCGGAGTATTTTATTTGTTATTTAAAAAAAAAAGGTGTAGGTAAAGAAGAGCACTTAGAGACCACCCCGATAGGCCGTCACTACTAAGAGCACGAGACCTGCAACAACGTCTGTTATTTCTCTCATAAACGAACCTAACTATATTAATATAGCGGTCAATCATTGACACTCAATGTAGATTTTAAGACTCAAACTTTCAACTACTTGCGTATTATTTGTGCATAATGATGAAAAGTTGTACTCTCCCTAGGCAAGCATATTAATTTTATGGCCAACCTCAAAACATTGGCATTTGACGTACATATCGACAAGATGAAGCTGCTAATCAATCTGCACAATCCTTTGATCATCACATCACTATTTATTGTTCATCATAAAAGCTATTACATTCCTGGCACATTCATAATAGAAGGAATTATGTGTATAGATACAAATATGCTACAAGTAGCGACAGTCAAATTGGTTAATAAGCCGGGCAAACCATTTAAAAATAATTTTATTTTTTTTATTTTTTTCCGTTCAAAGTAATCGAAACACTAATTAGCCCTTAAACTTTCAATTTTATCAATTTAGTTCTCAAATTTCACACCCTCCCACTAACTTCCATCTAAATCATTGATGAAAAAGAGCACATATGCTTGGCACATGATGCAATTGAGGGCCATTTAAATTTTTATGCTCACTAAATAAATGATGTAATTGTCACATGCAAAATAAATAAAATTACAAAATAATGTCATATATATGCATTGTATAGAATAAAGTACGAAGCTCCGGCGACATCAGAAATCAATTAAAAGGGAGAATTAAATCCCTAAGGTGTTGTCGTTTGTTGTTGAAGCTGACAGTAAGATGCATTTGCCGGAGGACTGGTGCACACTGGGTTTCCGATCAATCTGAAGTACATAAATTGACAGATTAGCAGAAGGTCATGGGAGAAAATATGCATTATCATTCACATGGATTGTTAGGATTCGTGAACTCTTACATTAATGCATTTGCATATCCAGAGCTGAGTGTCACAGAGGATATGTTGTTGTTCTCCAAGTCAACAAGTTGCAGCTGCTGGCTGATGCTGCTGCCCATGTTCAACGTGCCGTTAAATGAATTGTTCCTCAGTTTCCTGTCAAAAATTCACAAGAGCTAGATCACCACTTTCACTTTGCTTCTTTTGTAGGTTATAGGAATTAACATCTACTGATCTTTTCTGCTAATCTTCGAACTTACACTAGTTGTATCTGTGGGAAACTGAAGAGTTTCTGTGGCACAGATCCTTGAAGTGAAGAATATTCCACAACCCTGCACACCACAACAGAAATTCCACATAAGATGGATAGGCAATTCAAGGATATCCCAACGTTGTGCTTTGTGACTTGATAAAAACTCACAAAGTGGTTAGTGAAGGTAAGGTTGAGAACCAAGCTGGAGCTTCTGATGGTGTAAAGGAGTTGTTGCTTAAGTCCCTGCAGAGAGACACAATAGCTTATGTTTTTAACGGTCTAACTAAGACTTGAGGCAAGATATAATTTTGATAAATGATGCATACGTCACTTACACGTAACTGAGCGAGTCCATTCCAGTCAAGTCTGGTAATGCACCTACCAGGTTGTTGTGTGCTAAATTCCTACAATAGAACATTAGAGCATGAGGAAGGACATTTTAGATAATTACTCATCGTTTAAATATAACCACGTAAATTGTACCAAACTGAGAAAACACCCACAGTTCAATAACATTCGTAAGATTTTTGAGGTTTGAAGGGACATTGCCTGTTAGGCCATTTCTATCAAGCCGCCTGTTGCATAGGAAAGTATGTGTATCCAATATCAGGGGAAAAGGATATCTATCAGAACAAAATGTGCTATTATCTTAACAAGGTGAGGAAGTAAAGATGGCGGAATCTACTTACAGAACCTCAAGTGTCTGAACTAATCCTAATGTGGTTGGAATTCTCCCGTTTAATTGATTTCCATCAAACAGTCTGTCATATCAGATCCATAAGCTGTAAGAACATAGCTAAGCAAGTTAATATAGCAGGTAGTGGTGTCTTAACTTACACGTGTATTAGTTCCATGTCAGGACTGAAAATTTGGGCTGGAATTGTTCCTGAAAGCTTGTTATTATTGAAATGGCTGCAAATTTGTAGAAGTAAGAAGGTTATTGAAGCATTAAAAAACAGCAAAGGAATGTGGGCTGGCAAATCAAATTATCCTCACAAGTGTTTTGCCTTCTTAAGGAGGTCCAAGCCTGGGGTAGTCGCTGCTGAAACAGGGAGAGATCCTGTCAGCTGATTATCTGCCAAGTCCAGCCAGTAGAGTTTCGAAAGATTGCCCAAAGAAGGAGGTATTCCACCAGTGAAGTAGTTCGTGTTCAGAGCTCTGTCAAGGCAAGTAGCGTTAGATAAATAGAGTAGATCAATGTTTTACTCCCATTACAAGCGGAGATCATTATTTTGCAGTTCTTACAAAAAAGATAGCTCTGCAAGATTTCCCAGTTCATTTGGTATGTTACCACTGAATTCACAGCCAGATAAGATTCTGAGAGACAAACAAACGATTATCTTTGAATACGCGCACATGTGTATATGCTGAAAAGGGTCTCCATGAACCAGTTATTGGGTCTTACAAGATGTTTAGGCTTTTCAAATCTCCTAACCGTGGAGTGAGGGTACCTGTGAGGCCTCGGTTAAATGATAGGTCCCTGCAATATGTAGTTTAAAAACTTAAGCTAAAGGATAAATGTTAAACCAAATAAAGACTAAAGAGGCATTACAGCTAAGTTTCTTAAACGATCCGAGTGCTTCAAGCTCGGATAGGACTTGACTCAATTTTGAGTCGCTTTGTTCATACCATAAGACGAATTGAATCAGTTAAATTTCTACACTAGTTTTTTAAACAAGTTGAATCTGAGCAGCATATGGCTTGACTCAATTAGACTCGACTCGATCAAATAAGTTCCTATCTATCAATAGTTCTATTTTTATTACTCCCTCCATTCCTAAATATCTGACATTTAAGGTTTTTGTACAGGAATTAAGGAAGCTATTAAATAACTGTAATATGAGTAAAAAATAATTAAACAAGACTAAAATACCCTTATTCAATACGTATTGAGAAGAAAAAGAATATGAAAGACAATTAGCAAAAAATATTAATTACGTTTTGATTTTATTAAATGACAAATATTATGGAACAAAAAAAATTATGTGAAACAACAGATATTTAAGAATGGAGTGAGTACTAAACACCTAAACAACCCCAAACCCCAAACGTATCTCTAAATTGTCTCTGATCATGTACAATTCTTTCCTTCTCTCCTCTTATATAAATTTTGAGAGATTTTTTGTCCAAAAATTCATAATTTCAGAATGAATTGTTAAGTAATAAGATCTAATTTCTAAAAAAAAATTATTAAAAATTGAGCTTTATTTCGGCTCAAGCTCATCTTGTATGCTCATAAACTTCTACCCAGAAGAGTGTGAACAAGAATTTAAGCTTGATAGTTGAGCTTTGCTATTCGCAACTGAGTCGAACTTGAGGACATTCAAGCTCGACAAAATTGGCTTAATTAACATACAAACTATACCAAACTTTAAACTTTGTGCTCTAATGGAGTGGGCCACATCCCAGATTTATTATACATACGCCCACGCTAGGGTCCAAGAAAAAGCCCACAGCTGTGGTTGACCTGTTAGGCCAATTGGCTACTAGGGCCGGGACGTGGTCTCTACCAGTCGACATAGAATAATGTTATTTGAAAATATGATCTAACCAGTTAAACTTCTTCGTTAGTACTCTATTCTTTAGTAATCTATCCCTTGATAGATCAATAAATTAGATTAAATTGTTAAGTCCCAATAGTATTACTCGGCCAGCAGATATTCAGGGACATGATTTTTGGCCCACTAGCCGGCTTGATTGTTAGTGTCTAGTCTTTACATTCGACTCAAACAACGAGCAAGAGATACTCACAAGGATTTCAATTCAGTGAGATCTCCAATATCACCGGTTAGCTCACCGACGAGTCCCATTGTTGATAACACCCTGGAAAAAAAAAAATTCAAAACTTACAAGTTGAGTTTCCCACTAAAACAGGAGGCTTTCAAGTCAAAAATATGGGATATAACACTACCGACGGTGGAAGCGGCAAATAATCAAACACTCACAGTCCAGTGACCCTTGAGTTTTCGCAGGTGACTCCTTCCCAGGGTGTTCCACAAGCATCATCTGTCTTTCCCCAGCTTGGTGGTGTGTTCTGCCACTGATCCTTCAAAGATCGGAGTACCGCCACTGCAGCACCACCATTTTTTTTAAGTCAGATGTTAAAGCTCTGGTCAAAATCAAATAGAGAGGTCGGTACGGAAAAGAACTTTTTTGTGTATATTTTTTTTCTTTTTTTTGTTCAACTAATTTATGCTCGGCTAAATATGAAATATGAAAGTTAAATCATTCGGACTATGAGTATTTACAAGAAATAAAATTTTTATAACCTATTTTCAAAAGATTATTAAAATTTAAACTCATGACGATGTCTAACTTTACAATTCACTTATGTTACTAATTTAGCTACCTTTCAAGTTAATTTTTGTGTATTTTTACGTGTGTTAGTTGCACTTGTACACTTTTTTTTATCAATAGATGCACATCATTCAATTTAAAATCTAGGGTTAATTAAACTGGAGTTACTCAAAATATAGAGTTTGTATCATTTTAGTTTATAATATTTTAATTGTATCATTTTGATCTCTAAATTATTGTATATGTTTTTAAATTGCCTCTTAAGTAAATAACATCTAAATTTTAACGATTTTTTTTCACAAACTTATCATGTGTCACGTAAATATGAGTAAAAAAATAATTAAGGTTGCCCTTGAATAAAATTTGGATAACTGTTGACAAAAAATGTATAATACAGATAACTCTTGACCAAAATTTAGATAGTTCAAAATCAAAATTGTATAATTTGGATAAAAATTTAATCAAGTATTATCCAAATTATTTTTTTTTGCTCATATTTAAAAATTCGTTGGCAATCTAAAGACTTTCTACTGGAGAAACTATATAAAAATATATTTAATATTCTAAGGAATAAAATAATGCATTTAAAATATTATGAACTAAAATAAGACAAAATATATATTTTAGCGATCTCTAATACAATTAATCCTAAAATCTATTGGCAAGATTAATAGGGTTGCAAGACCGATTTGGGTACCGTAGCATTACCCGGGGATGATAATGATCATATAATTTTGTCAAAATTAATCTAATACTTTTTCTGAAACAAGAGCATCAATGTATCGTACTATCAAAATCCAACGATACGTGTTAGGAGAAAATAATGGGTGTAACCGTCCAATGTTAAATAAATAAGTAGGTAAGGTAATTCCATTTATTTTATAGGGAGGTGATTATTATCTTGCATGAGAGGTAATTATTTGAATAGAGGTAATATTACTGGCTTGAAGGATTGAATACAATTCTGGTCAATACGATATATTATGATTCCCAGATTGGCACTAAAGTTTTGATAATTTAGTTCTTAATATTATAGATTTATAGTAAATTGGTTAAAATTTCAAGTGAATATTGCAACCGTGATAGTATATTACAGGGATGACACAACGTCATCGGGGGCTCTAAGCAAAAACTTTACACAAGCCCGGGCCCTATTACCATTTCGTGTATTAAAATATATAATTTTTTATTTATTTAAAAAAATCTTTTTTTTTTTTTTTTGAGATTTAAAAATATTGATCAATTTCTTAAATTCAAGTTTTGTTAATATATGTTTAATATTTCTTATGACATAGTTGACTGCAAATAATTTTTTATCAATTTAAGTTTTTAGAAACTCCTTTATACAAATGCAATTTTTATCGGCATTTTTTAATGAAATTCTATAAACAATACTTAAATTCAAAAAGTAATCTAGTCTTTTTATGTAGTTTAGTATTTCAATTAGATTGTTAGTTTCAATTTTTAAAATTTCATTGAGAGAGAGAGGTAAAGTTTTTTTGGGGCAGAAATTAAGTTTTGATATTTATACTAGGGTTCTTATTTTAAGGATTTTATTGGACTTAACCAAATGGAGAATAACTTTTGACTTAACAAGTTAGACATTGATTTGGGTTTCTGAAAATTGGGCCCTATAATTTAGAGTCCTATCTAAAACTCAAACAAAAAACATAAAAATTGGGCTAATATACTTAAGGGCCAAAGTTTTGGGGGCCCTCTAAAACTGTGGACCCTAGGTAGCCACCTTAGTGGCCTATGCCTAGGGTCAGCCCTGATATATTATGTGGTATTACTATCTAAAAACATAGGATCTTTCAGACTCTGGTATACTTAATTAGATTTATTACTATTTAAGTCCATCAAGGAAACTGTTTTGGAAAGAAGTCTACTAGTGAGAAAAAATAAACTGTCCTTCAAAACAATGCTCCAATTGCCTAACCAGGTTAGAAAATCGATAATCTCATCCTTTTTATTGACGCCTTCCGTTAAACACATAATGAAATCGCAAGTTTGAAGTAATAAAAAACCTGACTCTGAAAAATCCTCTATAAAATCTTATTTACCTAATAATTTTGTTGTTCAAACATACACAAAAAAAGGGATTTGAAGAAATATATTTTCCAAGTTTTGAATAAAAGAATGAAAACAAACAAAAGAAAAAATGGCATCATATTGTGACAATCCAGTGTGACATCCTTGACATAAGACTTAAACACTACAATTAAGTACACATGTTTCTTTGGGTTTAGTAAAGTGACATCATAGTGTGACATTCTTGACATAAGGCTTGGACATTATAATTAAACACACACATTCACTTAATTTTAATAAAGTGACATTATAGTGTGACAAACCAGTGTAGCATGTTCACTTGGTTTTAATAAAGATGAACACACAACAAAAACTAATAGATGAATGCCCAATTAATATAAGATTATAACATTGTTATAGAATAAAATCACTAGAAAATATTAAATCTGTTAATTAAAAAAGGAAGGGTTTATGATTCATAAAAAAACACTAAGGAATTCGAGCGTAAAATGAAAAAAACAAAACTTTATTGTTCCACACTGGAAAACTTTTAAAACAAATTTTTATTAAAACAAAATAACTAAGTCTGTTAATAAAAAAAAATTAAATCAAAACTTCCTACCTAATATTACGTTCCTCCGTTTGAGAAATTCAAATGTAAAATCTATTTAATACAGTTTCTTCAGTAACTGGTTTTTAGAGAATGTGACTTTTGGCGGGTAATTTTGAGAAATTTAGAAAAGATGAATTTCGGTGAATATGAAATTGATCAATAGAAAAAGTTTATGATTAATGTCAAAAACGGGGATCTAATTAAGAAAATTCATCAAAAAATTTCAAAAGAGTTTAGGAAAATTTTAAGAAAAATAAAAAAAGGAAGAGTTTATGATTACTGTCAAGAACCACCACCAATAATCACTGATGAAGGGGAATAATTCGAATACTTGTTGGAGAAGAAGAAAAACCTTAATGGTTGATTGTAGAAAGGAGAAATGTTTTATGACAAAGACACTGGAATATAATCTAAAATTCAAACGTGATTCTAATCCACAAATTTAGGAAATCATAAAATTTTAAAACATATTAAAAAAATAAATTGACAAATCTAATAGGCATAAATTAAGTTAAGGACAATTATGTCATGAAAAATTGTAAATTTGTACCTAGTCCGAAAATATTTAGGAATAGAAGAACTTAATGATTTAAAAGTATGAGGTATGTACATTTAAACAAATAATTAGTTATAGGTGTATCCCTTACTAATTATCCCAAAAATATACTAAACAAACGGAAGCCAATACCCATAGACGCTGCTGAATAGTAGACCAAAGGGTGAATAAATGCCATAGAAACGCAAGATTTTATAATATTGGTACTCTTGTCTACCTATAAAAGCAGCCGCACTTGATGTTTCATGGGATACCACCAACAGGAACAAGAAGACAAATTACAAGAAAAAAACTATCCAATAATTTCCAAGCCAATTACGACAAAACAAGTTCAAGAAAAGTAGCAAAACAGTAAAGGAGATCGCTTGTTTTCTGATTCAAATCGTGAAAATGAAATTACCCACGAAGAATCACCATGAGCATAGCAACCAGTAGGTGTATATGTGTGAGCATACACACATTTGCATGTGCATGCATGAATCAAAGTAAAGATAGAGCCTTTTGGAACTTACAATCCCCAGGGTCCGTCACAGAGGAGACCACATGAATCCCAGCAGAGAAAACGAGAAAGCAGAGCACCCCAATGGCTGCCATGGTCATTCCTCTCTTAGATCTAGAAGTTGATTTCTTGATGGTGTTTGAACAGCTCTGCTGCAATGAAGAACAACCAAGATTTTCTTGTAACAAAATCTACTTTACTACCCTTTTTCTCTTCGTTTCCAACGAATTACAGATCCTTTTAGTGTTGGCCTGCAATGGCGTTTGAAGGTTAGGGTTGGATAAATATGAGCTCTGCTTTGGTGTGTCCGTCTCTGTCGTGATTAATACCGCCGACTGAATGCTAACAACAGCATTTCGTCGAGTGGGTTGTGTTCATTTTAATGATCAGCCTTCCAATCCAGCTCTCAATCAGCCACTACCCCCCTCAAAATCATCGTCGTCGTCATCATCGTTTAGCCCTTTCTCTCTCCAAAAGTCTACATCATGGTGATAAATTACGATAACCTGTGAGGATTATTGTATTTCACGTCTTAACGTTTCCTATGCCGTCCCAACATTGTTCACGAGAAAGACAAGGATTGAAGTTTTGTTACCAAGATTGAAGAGGCCTTTTACATGGTAATTTCTTATACTTGCTTGCTGCACATGTCCGATGCCTCCTTTACAATTTTTTTGAATGCTTTATAGTATAAAGCTGTGATTATTTTGTTGTTTACTCGGTAAAGTGCCCGATTGTGAAGGATGAAAACATGGTTTGATTGTCAGAATACCTGCTTTTTGTAGATTACATCGATTTGTCTCGAAAGTGTTCCACAACAGTTCAATTGGCAGGGTTAAGGGTGACTAATTCAAATTTCCAACATCTCAATCTAGCTTTTTATGTTTTTTTTTGTAAACCAACCCAAAGTAAATGTAATTCTCGGTGAAACAACATAGCTTTGATGCCAAAGTTCTGTAAGTCTGTGTTTTGCTAGTGACCATGGGCTGATCCAGTGAGTCAGAAAGAGGGAAGCTTCTTCGATATGTAGGTCAGGGGTCGGGTGAGTGGTGCTGAAGGGGAAATCAAGTATCAAATTGTGTGTTCAAAAGGACCATTGCTTATTCGGTTATTCCCTCTACAGGTGATAGAATTGCGGCAAGTTGGAAGTCAGAGAGATAGGACACAACTTTTGGGGTGCAATTTTGGTGATGACATTGTTAATTCCATATGATGATTCTCTTTCTTTTTTTTTTACAACTTGATTGACTCGAGCAAAACTTTTAAGCAAAGCTCGATCAACTAATATGTTTTGTTTATCATCTCTTTTCAGACACCCTAGGAAAAAAATAAGAAGAGTCCCCTTTTTTAATAACAATTCGAAAGCAACAAAAACTTTTTATTCTAGAAAGTGAGTTTGATTATCTCAGGACTGGGAGTCCAACTTCAACAGCGATGCAAAGTGGAGTCTAGTCGCTGCCAGCCAGGGACATGGCATCATTATATGTTGTATATGAGCTATGTTGCAAAAGTGTTGTAAGACTACACAATTCCTTTTTTTCAAGGCCCCAAAAAAGATAAGAAGACCATACTTAGTAAATACATGGGAAAATTTTAGCCATATCCCTTTCAAAGACGTACTCTCTATCATCTAAAACATCAATGATATTCCTGTCGTTAAATCACCTTTTCTAACAAAAAAAAATTATCTAAAATATCAAAATAACCCCTAAATAATCATTTTATATAAAATTCAAGTAATTCGAGCCGATTAAATTTTTTTTTACATATTAAAATTTGAGTTTATTAAAATTTAAGCTGATTAAAATTCGATTCAAGTTGATTAAATTTTACTTTTTTATGTATTAAAATTCGATTGAATCTGATTACATTTTATTTTTTTATGTATTAAAATTTGAGCCTATTAATTTTTTGCATTAAAATTTGAGTCGATGTGAGCTTAACCTGAGCTGTTAGCGTCGATTAATATTTAATTCAAGTTGATTAAAATTTAGATTTTCTTGCATATTAAAATTCATGTCAATTAAAATTTGATTCAAGTTAATTAAAATTTATTTTTATGTATTAAAATTTGAGTCGATTAAAATTTATATTTTTAGTAAAATTGTATTATAATTAAGGCATTTAACCTGATAGGGGTGTTAATGAAGATTTAAAAAGTAGAGGGAATATTTTTAAAGATATGATAAATTAGAAGAGATAAGACTGGAATTTTCCCTAAATAAAATAGTGATTGGAATGTATGGACGTGTGATTGGATTGCAACACTTGTGTGAGAATAAGGCACTGTAAAAGTATGTTTTGATATTGCACTAAAATAATTTTAAAAAAAAAATATAATATAATTATTCAATTAATATAGCTATATTGAATAGAGTTGTTTGGGGATTAGTCATAAATTAATCCACATATCAATAGATATAATTTAAGAAAAATTTACTTTTATACCCCAAGTTTAGTTGCATGTTGTCTGTTAGTATAATAACACGACACGTTCGTCAGTGTTCTTTTTTTGTGAGATAATTTTTTGACTAATGTGTGTTCATTTGCTTTAAATTAAAGCAGTTTTTTAACAAATAAAATTGATTTTTGGTCAATTTTGAGCCTAAATTAAATTAGGACATGCTCGTTGTTTTTAGTAAACTTTTGTTGGTTTGTATTCTACTAATTAATGAGAATAATGTAGTATATTCATGTAAATTCTCACATGTTTATATTAATATAATAATATAATTGTTTAGTAATTCTAATATATGTAATGATGTAAGAATGAACCACATAGATTATAACAGTAGAAATAAATATTTGGGAGACAAATTAATTATTAAGGTTAAGTTTTGAAGGTATTTAAACTTGCAAGGGATTGTTAGGTAAGTTCAAAAGATTTTAGTTCAAAATAAGATTTCCATTAATCTAGAAGATTGAGAAACATTGGGAGAGGTAATATGGGGTATAATAAAGTTAGGAAGTATTCCGGAGTTAAAGCACATTGTAGATAGAATTTGGGTAGAAAGAATTTTGATACTACCTTAGTATTTTGACCATAACTTTTTACCCTGATGTCCGTTTGAGCTTAAATGTTTACATTAGATAATAAATTTCTAGAACTATAAAAGTGCATTTCACAAAAAAATTTCTAAATCGACCTCTAAATGGGCCAAAACATTACTGGAAGTTTCAGAAGAAACAGAGAGTCTGTTCCAACGTGAAAGTCCGTTTGAACGCCAAACGTTCGAACGTGAAAAGTCTGTTTGAATGATAATTCGTTCCAGTACTCTTGTCTGATGGAAAAATAAAAAGTACTGGGAGCAAGTGATGTTCGAATGCCAAATAACGTTTGAACGTGAGCAGCGAATCAGAACATCAGATTTATGTCGGTTGCACTCTTTTCTCACCTTATAAATATATAGGGCCGCCTCCATTAGCCCCATTTCAACATTTCTAACCCTAGATAGTCTTGGAGATGAAGAAAAAAGGATAAAAATATAAGATCAATGAGGATTTTCACATTGAAGTGGATCAAAATCTCAAGTTCTTCACACAAAACTAAGGGAGAAGGTAGGGGATTCTTCTCAAGTTCGTTCATTGAGACTTAGGGTATAATTATGTATGTTTTCAATCTTCTTGATAATTATATGATAGATATACACGAGTTATTGATTTCTTTATCATTGGAACATAGTCTTAAGCAAAATATATGTTTGGGTTCAAGGAGTATTGGTTCTTGAATTTCCAAAGCCCTAACTTTTCCAAAATACATGTTCTATGGTGAAATTCATAGTGATTATTGATTTCTAAACTCTTATGTTTGATTAAATCATGTTTTCATCTAATTGTTTGTTCTTGTTCCAAGAAATTGGAATTTTTGGCAAAACCCTAGAATTTTGAATATCTAAATTATGAAGGTTTTCTTGAGACGATCTCTTGCATAATTTAATTTCCTATTACTGTTGTATATTGAGAATTGAAAATTTGTGATACTTGAATTGATAATAGAAATTGTGATTGGTTAATAAGATTGTGGTTGTTGAGAATATTTTGGTTTCATCTCTTGTATGGTTTGTTGTGACAAACTTGAATTTCCTTCGAGAGCTGCCGTAGAGTGTTAGAGGTTAGTCCATCCCAGTGAGGGTGAGATGGTTTTCTAACACTTGCAGTGGATTTTTGTTTGTGAGAGCAACTACTATTGTTCACGTAAGTTTGAGACTGAGGGATGATATACCTTTCCTGGGAAGGATTCATCAATGTCGTAGGAGATAGTTTACACCCTTCCTAAAATGTTTGTGATTGTGTGTTGTGATGGGTGAACAAGGTAGAATCTTTGTGTAGATTCCTGAGAAGAAACCAACATACATGACAATGAGAATGAACCAACATATATGAGAATATAGAATGATGTTACTGAGTTATTTATTGATTGTTTTAATCTCTTAAAAGTTTATTCTTGTCATTGATTTACTGTATTTCGTACACTTGAGATCATTACAACTATCATAGTTTTATTCTCAAAATCTATATATGCTATTTTCCAAAAGAGACTTGCTATCTTTTATTGTTTTTTAAACCTTGTTAGGATTTGAGAGGATTTTCCTACAGAGCCCTACAAACAACACTTTTGTCAGATTTTGATTTAGAGGAGGAGTTCAGAGTTGACGAGTAGGTAACTTGGGAAGCTCAACTTGATGGGCATGTGGACCCGGAGGGGAATGTCTAGAACTATTCTTTTTATGTCCTAGACTAGAAGGTTTATTTTGAGATAATGTTCATGTTAATGTTTTTTTATTCCGTTGCAAGATAATAGTTAATTTTTGGGATGTAAGTGTCGTAGTTGGGCTTATTCTTTTGGATGTAATGGTCATGACTTGACATATTCTTTTGGATGGAATTGTAGATATTATGTATGATGAATGAAATTTTCTTTACTTATGGATTTTAGTAGTTGCTCTCATGATGTGAATGATTTAAGATAGTAATGTCATCCAAGGTGGATTTTGGGGCGTTACAATTCGTTTGCTCAAATTAAGTAAGAGATAGAATGAAAAAATAGGCTTTAGAATGACCCTCTAAGAATGTGAAAAATAAAAATTGGCACAATGTGAGA